GAGCAGTCTTCCATTATTTGGGGGGGCTGTGCCCCCAAAGAGGAGGGGGGATTTCAACTTCTTTTCCAAAGCACCAGAAAAGCAGAAGCGACAGACGGAAACTAACCAAAGAGAGAAACAGAAGAAGGGGGAGAAGGGTTGCCATTAAAGCCAAGGGTGCTCCTGAGCAGGTGCAGAGTGCCGCAAAGGCGGAGGTGGCAGCTTAGACCAGGGTTTCTCAAACTGTGTGACTTGGAGAGGGGTGGTGGACTCCAACTCCCAGAATCCCCCAGCCAGCATGCTTATAAACTTGGGAGAGGGATGGACTCCAACTCCCAAAACCCCCAGCCAGCCTGCTAATAAACTTGGGAGAGGAATGGACTCCAACTCCCAGAACCCCCAGCCAGCCTGCTAATAAACTTGGGAGAGGTGGACTCCAACTCCCAGAACCCCCAGCCAGCCTGCCAGTGAGCCTGGAGAGGGGTTCCGTCAGGCCGAGGGATTCTGGGAGTTGGAGTCCACCCACCCTCAAGCCTAGCAACCCCGTTGCCTTAGACGAGGTTCGGGCTGCCCTGGAGAGGCGTGGCCTCCTCCTCGGCCCCGCCCAGCGCCCGCCCAGCGCCCCGGCCCCGCCCCCCTTTGGGCCGCGTGACGCGCGAGCCGGAAGAGGATGGCGGCGGGCTGCGGCGCGCGGAGGTGGCGGCTGCTGCCGCTGCTGCTGCTGGCCGGGGCGGCGCTAGCTCCGGGGCCGGCCGGCGGGGTTGCGTCGGAGCCGGGCCGCTGGAGCCGGACGGCCGGCGGGGTGAGTGCGGGGGCGGGGCCTGGCTAGAGCTGTGGCGTCACAGGGAGGGGAAGGAGCGGGGGGGGGGGCAGGGTCCCTGGGAGACCCCCACGCACCCCCCACCCATCCTGCACGGCGTCTTGCTCGGGAGACTGGGCAGGGTGGTCTGGCTGGGCGGACCGAAGGGGTCCCGGGTCGCTTCCCTTCCATCAGGGCCACCCCGGCTAGGCTAGAGGGCCTCGGGGTGCCCCCCTGCCTTCCAAGGGTCAGGGTTGGCTCCAAGGAGCTGCCCTGGGAGGATCTGCATCCTCTTCTCTCTCTGCCCCCCCACCCCACCCAGCAGGACTGGGGTCCCTCTCTTTGATTGTTGGGTGGCTGCCCCTGCCCCCCTCACTCCAAAGGCGCCCCCAGCAGCATCCCACAGCAATGGATTTCACAGTGGTGGCTCTTTTGGGGGGCAGGGGGGTTTAATTTTTGACGCTGAGGGTGGACAAAAAAGGAGGGAGGGAGGGGAATTGGAGAGGAAGGGGAAGGCAGGGAGGGAGGCAAGAAAGGAGGGAGGGAGAAGGAAGGAAAAGGGAGGAAAGAAAAGAAGGAAAGGGAAGAAAGGAAGGAAGGAAAGAACGAAAAGGAAGGAAGGAGAGAAAAAGAAGATGGAAAAGGAACAGAAAGAAAAGGAAAGAAAGAAGAAGGAAGGAACAGAAAGAAAAAGGAAGGAAGAAGGAAGGAAAGAAAAAGAAAGAAAGAGAAAAGAAAAAAGAAAGATTGGTTGTTGGCACTCTCTGAGCTTGGTGGTTTTCTTGCAGACATTTCATGACCAAACTAAGTAACATTATCAGGGTTTCTGAAGATGAGGTTTGCTCCCTGTGTTCGTATATACAATAGCTTGCCCTGCTGCTTATACCCCATAAGCAGGGATTGACACCTGACAAACAAGCAGAAAACTATACCCTAATCCCGAAACCACCAAGAAACTCCCACCAACCCTGGCAGGCCAAGCTACTGCACATAAACGGAGAGCGAACCCCATACCCTTCAAACACTGGTGATGTCACCTAACTGGGTCATGAAACGTCTGCAAGAAAACCAGCAAACTCAGTCAGCACCAAGGACCCCGTAATTGTTCTCCACCACCACCACCACTCTGCAAACCCCACTCCCTCCTTGCCCTGATAAAGTTACCTAGTTGGGCCATAAAATGTACGCAAGGACCCCACAGGTTGACTCTGAGCTACACATACTCTTTTCTACCTGTATTCTAGCATTGTTTGACACCTATCTTAAGAGTGCCACCCTCCCCGATCTAACACGCCTTTCATTCTCCTCTCAGTGGCTATTTCTTCCCAGAAAGAATCTCTAAACAAACATTTCCCCCCGGAAGTTCCTTTATCCAGAGCAGAAAGTTATTCCGTGGTATCCTAGCTGGGTCTTGAGGAACAGGATGGATTTGAACTCGGGCCCTTTTGTGGAGCGACTGAGCCTTTGTGTTGCTCTTGTCTTCCAGAACCAAAAGAAACTCTTTGTCTTCTCCAAGACGATGTTTAAAGGGACTTGGATTATTCTTAAATGTAAGTGCCCAGCCTCCCGCAACAGGATAATGGAATCAAAATTTGGATTGGCTGGGGAGGAGGTTTACGGGATTTTAAAATATAATATATAAATGCTCGATCCCCGTGCTTTGCTATGAAACTATGTGGTGGGGCTTAGTTTTGGGGGAGGAAAATAAGGGGAGGGGGGGAATTCTGCCTCTGCCTACCAGCATCCATCAGTACTCATCTTGTTAGCATCCTGTCAGTGTGTGAGAGAGTTGAGGGCTGTTTGGAAACTGAAGCGGAATTTGCTGTGTGGGCAAGAAGGAGACAGCAAGGAGCCTGGGCGTGGCTTAGCTCAACTGTTCTGGACTAAAGCTGCTTGGTGCTGCTGTGAAACTGAAACTCCTCTGCTTGTGTTTTGCATTTGGAGGAGATTTCTTTGGCAGGTGGTGAGGTGAGTAGACCTCCTTAGAATCAGAGCGTGTTAATAATAATAATAATATATAGGAAATACTCTAAATGCTCTGATGGTCATTTCGAAACATCCTATCTTAAGGAGCCCCTAGAAAGCCAAGAGGAACCTACAGGCCGAATGTCAAGTTTGTAGGCTTTACGGTTCTGGAGATTTTGTGATGATGCATGAGTGATATATATCGCTTATATAGATTTATGTATGTATGGTATTCAGCTTTGTTCGGGTATTTTCCCACGTCGTTATAGTTGTGCTTTTAAAGTTGTGGCAACGTTTTGGCAACTTTAAAAGCACAACTATAATGACGTGGGAAAATACCCGAACAAAGCTGAATACCATTGATATAAATACCCGTGAAAACTTAATAAAACATTTATGTATTTATATATAATTGACAGTTCCCCATGAAGTCTGCGAAGATAGGGAAGTGCTGAATGTGACCTGGTATCTCCGTAGTTCCCGCTGCCACAATGAAGCCTACATAAATGTGAGCCACTGGTCTCTGCAGGGTGGATTTGGGGGGTGGGTGGGAGGCAAAGGCTGGAAATCCCCCCCACCTCTGGGGTTCAGCAGGAAGGAAGCCCCCTCCTCAAGGGTGGGTATCTGGACCCACTTCACAGCTGGTAGAGGGTTGGGGGTATTTGAGTGGGTGGGCTCTTAGCATTTTGTCATTTCCCTTCCAGTTTTTTCTTTCTTTCTTTCTTTCTTTCTTTCTTTCTTTCTTTCTTTCTTTCTTTCTTTCTTTCTTTCAGGAAAACGAAGCGTTGACATACCTGAGCAACCCTGACGTGGAGGCCAGTGTCCTTGGAGGAGGCCAGTATATCTGGAATGTCACCTTGGTGCAGTGTGGACAGTTGCACAAGGTGCGGATCCTGCCATCAAGGGGGGGGCCTGAAAAGTGATTGGAAAACCAGAGTAGCCTCGTTGTGAGAGGAGGGAACCTCCGGTTGGCGAACAAGTGGGGGAACTCCTGATAGAAGAGACTGTAGCTCAGGTTGAACTGCGGGGGTCCTTGGGGGTCTCTTGAGTTTGCAGACGTTTCATGACCCAGCTGGGTAACATCATCAGTGCTGGGAGGGTGTGAGGTTTGCAAGGAGGGGGAGGACTGTGGGGTCCTTGAGCTTGGTGGCTTTCTTGCAGATGTTTCATGACCCAACTAGGTAGCACCATGGCGATGGTTGAGGGGGGGAACTCATCCTATCCAACAGAGGTCTCCAAACTTGGCCACTTTAAGACTGGTGGACTTCAACTCCCAAAATTCTGGGAGTTGAAGCCCACAAGGCTTAAAGTTGAATTCTGGGAGTTGAAGCCCACAAGGCTTAAAGTTGAATTCTGGGAGTTGAAGCCCACAAGGCTTAAAGTTGAATTCTGGGAGTTGAAG